AAATGAAACTGAATCCCTTGAAATGCACGTTTGCTGTGGAATCAAGGAAATTCCTAGGGTACGTGGTATCCAAGAAAGGAATCGAAGTGAACCCAGAGAAGGTTGAGGCCGTTCAGCAGATGGAGCCGCCAAGGACTGTCAAAGATGTGCAGCGTTTGACGGGCCGTGTTGCTGCGCTACACAGGTTTATAGCCAGGTCGGCAGAAAGATGCCTCCCGTTCTTCAAGGTCCTGCGAGAGCCCAAGAACTTTCAATGGACCGATGTGTGTCAGCAGGCCTTTGACGAGCTAAAACGATACTTGGCGTCAGTGCCCCTGCTATCCAAGCCTGTGGAGGGGGAGAGCTTGTATCTGTATTTAGGGGTTACAGTAGAGGCAATTAGCTCGGTCTTACTCAGGGAAGAGAATAAGAATCAGAAGCCTATCTGTTATGTGAGCAAAGTCTTACAAGGCGCTGAGCAGAATTACCTAGTCGCAGAAAAGGCCGCTTTTGCCTTAGTTTACACAGCTCGTAAGTTGAGAGCTCACTTCCAATCACATCAGATTATTGTCTATACCGATTTGCCGTTGAGAAAAATACTGCAGAAACCTGAGCTCTCTGGTCGGCTTATTGGGTGGAGCGTCGAGCTGAGTGAATACGATCTCAAATTTCAGCCTCGCACAACCATAAAAGGCCAGGCCATTGCAGACTTTCTGGTAGAATGCATCTCGGCGACGGAGGGAGACAAGGCATTTGATTACCCACCCTGGGTTCTGTATGTTGATGGAGCTGCTAACATCGAAGGGTCAGGCGCTGGGGCTGTGTTGATAGGCCTAGATAGCTTTAAATCTGAGCATGCATTGCGGTTTAAGTTCCAGACCACTAATAATGCTGCTGAGTACGAAGCCCTCATCTATGGTTTGAAACTGGCGTCCGAACTGAAGGTACAGAGCATACAAGTTTTCAGTGATTCTCAGCTCGTGGTGGGCCAGGTAAATGGCAGCTGTGAAGTTAGGGATCCCCAACTTAGCCGTTACACCTCTGTGGTCAACAGATTGAAGTCAAGATTTGCTTCATTTCAGATCGACAAAATACCAAGAGCTGACAACCACCGAGCTGACGAGCTGTCAAAATTGGCCACCTCACAGGACTTTAACCCTCAGAGGTCAACCATCGTCGAAGTACTGGACGCTCCGAGCTACACTGATTTCACGGTCGAGTGTCAGCTACTAAGCACAGATCCCTCCACGACGAGCTGGACTACCCCACTCATAAATTATCTGCAAAGTGGCGAGCTACCTGAAGATCTGTCCGCTACGAAATTGGTTAAACGAAAGGCAGCACATTTCACTTTGTTAGATAACAAGCTCTACAAACGAGCAGCCTCAATGCCCCTATTACGCTGCCTTACTCCTTACGAAGCTGAATACGTTGTGAGAGAAGTTCACGAAGGAGTATGTGGCACGCACATCGGTGGCAAAACTTTTGCTCAGAAGCTCCTGAGGCATGGTTATTACTGGCCCACTATGATCGAGGACGCGCAGAATTATGTCAAAAAGTGCCCAACCTGCCAGTTCAATGCTGATGATATACACATGCCAGGTATTTGAGCCCATTCTAAAGATCATGCAAACTTCCTGCTTGTCCCTAAACTGAGCATAAGTATCTTCCTTGAAACAGGCGAAATGCTTTCATCTCTCGCATCTCCTTGGCCCTTTGCTCAATGGGGTGTCGACCTGCTCGGCCCTTTCATCAAAGGCAAAGGAGGCTACACTTTCCTGGTCGTTGCAGTGGATTACTTCACTAAGTGGATAGAAGCTAAACCACTATCCACGACAACAAAAAGGAAAATAGAAGAATTCTTGTTCAATTCAATATTGTGCAGGTATTCTTTGGTGATTAAGCTCATAAATAAAATATAGGCAAACGTGATTTGTACCTCAGCTCGCTCATCTGTGTGCAGGTTCGGCATACCTAAGCGAATTATCGCCAACAATGGGCCACAGTTCCGAGCAGCAGCACTGAGATCGTTCTGTAACGACTATGGCATTGAGCTCGCCTTGACGTCCGTGTATACTCCACAGTCCAACAGGCAAGCCGAGTCCGCCAATAAAATCGTCTTGCGAGGCCTTAAGACACGTGTTTTGGCCACGCATTCTAATTGGGTTGACGAGCTCAATAAGGTGCTTTGGTCTTGTCGCACCACACCCAGCTCGGCCACGGGCGAAACCCCTTTCAGCCTAGCCTATGGAGCTGAAGCCGTCATCCCAATGGAGGTCGGATTGCCATCCAATAGATCAGATCGTCATGACGATCAGAATAATGAACAACTCTTAAGAGAGAACCTAGACTTTGTGGAAGAAATCAGGGAGATGTCCCGAATAAAAAATATGGCACATCAAAGCTGCGTTGCAAAATTTTACAATAAAAGAGTTCGAGCTCGCCAGTTTCAAGTGGGCGATCTGGTCCTACGTAAAGCCGGCTTAACTAACACTCATTCACACATGGGGAAGCTCGCTCCTAATTGGGAAGGCCCCTATATGGTCGTTCGAGTTAAGCGACCTGGCTCTTACATGTTAACAGATATACAAGGGCGTCAGTTACCTTACATTTGGAACGTACAGAATCTTAGAAAATTTTACAGTTAACGTGTGTACTTTTATTTCACTTAAGGTGTTATCCAACAGTTGTAAACAAAGATATACAGAAAATGCAACGAAGATTCAAAAGAAAAATCATTTTTGTATTTCATCAATGATGTTACATTCGAAGTACATACGCTCTGAATCTATTGATCAAATACAAAAATGCCAAAACAAAAATACAAAAGAATGAAACAAAAAGTCCTAAGCCTAGTCATCCGTCAGATCGACGGGCATGGATGCGTCAGCAACAGTCGTAGAAGAGCGAGCTGGAGGAGAACGGGCAACGGGCTCAGAGGCTGGCGCGTTGACGGGTGAGCTCGATGGCACAGCAGCGGGCTGAGAGTTGGGTGGGGTGCTTGAAGGCTCCTGCCCAGCTACAGGAGCACCCTCTACCCATGTATCAAATGAGGGCAGTCCTGCTGGGTCCTCCCCGTCCTCCAGAACGGACGGTGGCCAGACGGGCACGCCCTCCTCGTTCAAATCCCATCTCAGCCTCACAGTTGTATCAGCGAGGGGAGCAAGGCTCTTACCCTGCTCGTCGAGCTCCTCCTCGTCAAAGAAGACCAGCTCGCGGATTGGAAAATCCGGGCGGTGTTGCAGTACTTTTCCACGGATCTCGTTGTAGATCTCCGTGGTTACATTTGCCGACGCCACCGCCACGGCATCCTGAAACGCAGCCGAACCGGCGAACCATTCTGCCCCTTGAGCCAGGGCGATGACGACAGAGCGTGCATGGGAAGCCCTCAGCTCGTTCAGCGCTTCCCCGGCAGCAGCAAGGCTTCGGTCCGCCTCGGCGACCTGGTGCCTAAGGGAGCTCAGCTCGTGCTGAGCACAATCCCTGTCGGCCTCAACCTTCTTCGCCCTCTCCTCAACCCTGGCGGCCTCATCCTTTGCCGCCTGTATTCCGCTCTCTCTTTCAACTCGAGCTCGCTCCAACTCCTCCTTGAGCTCGTTGTTCTTGTTGGCGAGCTCATCCGCCCTGCTCTCTCCAGCCGCAGCTCGGTTCGCCATTTCAGAGCCTTGCATACGATTCACATCGTCCACAAGGCTGGCCTTCTCAGCAGCCAGTTGTTTGCACTTGGAACCGAGCTCGTTGTTCTGTGTACGAGCCGCCTGCTCACTCTCGTACAGAGCCACAGCATAGCTGAATGCCTACCAAACAACAACAATCGTAAGTACCTAGTAAGGAAAAGTAAAACACTTAAACAGATATGAGCAGATACTTACATCCATAAGTTTTATCATGGCGACCTGGTCGCCATGCTGCTGCACAAAAGCTTTGGCCCGCTTGTTATCCATAGGGGGCACAAAGCTGTGCATGGCTTGCACCATGGCGGGCTGACACTCTGCCCGCACATAGCTAAAGCCCTCAGGATAAGCGATCCTGGGGCCGGACATCGAGGCCGATGTAGAGGTGGGCTCCATTGCTGCCCGCATAGTCACTGACGGTGCGTTCGGTGAACGCACGATTGCAAGACAGACCGCCTGTGCGGGCTGAGTCCCCCCGCTTCTTATACGCCTATCAAGGGGGTCCTCATCCTCCTCGCTCTCTGTCTCCTCACGTGCACGTCTGCGTGCGCCAGGAGCCGCAGCCTCAGCTCTGTGATCCGCTCGTGGCCTTGACGACGAGCTGGATCCCCGGTGTGACGAGCCACGTGATTGAGGCGCCGGGGGCGGCCGCTCGTCGAACCTTGTCTGATGGGGTTGCGCGCTGCCCGACGCGCGACCTCGTGAGCCTTGGGCTCGCTATCGTTGGCGTTCCAAGATGCTGCTCATGTCTCCTGCACAGAAAAACGCATAAGACTCAGCCCGGCTAGAATTAATACTATATGATAAAAATATACCTTCGCTGAACAGGTTTGTCACATCGACAAACCCTAGCACGACGAGAGCCTCCGAGGTAACCAGGGCTTCTAGATCTATTAGACCCTCCCTCTGCGCATACTCAAGCAGCTGGTTCTTCAGATCGACATCCTGGGGCAGTAGCTGAGGATAGTTAATATGAGCGTTGGGGGTGCACCACTCAGACAGCCGGGCAACGAGGTCGTTGCTTATCCTTTCTGCTCGTGTGTCGCGAACAAAAATAAACTGTCTCTTCCACCTCGCCACCTTATTCCTCACATTTTTGAAGAGCTGGCTCTTATCCCTCCCAGAGAGGTAGTACCACTTCGCTCCTCATGAGTTCAGGCACAACCGGCACTGGAATAGCGACCTGAACACTATCACTTTCGCTGGTACCTCCAATCTCGCGCACAACAGCATAAAGCCTATGACAAACCTTATGCTATTGGGCGTTAATTGTGTCAGCGCCAGCTCGTAATCCACGAGCAGATCAAATATCAGGCCGAGCAAGGGAAACCGCAGGCCGGCATCAAAGTGATCCACGTACACCGGTATCCAACCCGTTTGCGACACTGTGCACGCCCTTTCGTTCTGCCCGCCTGTCCGCAGCAATATGTTCTTGGGGATGTGGTACGCCCTCACCATCTCCTCCAGTCGTTTATACCCACTTATGGAGGGCGCACAATCTGCTACTTCGTGGTGAAGTGCAGCCTTGAACCTGAATCCAGCGGGCAGGTCCTTCGATGCTTTTCGCAGGTTGCTCAACCTGCCCAGGATCGTCGCTCCTTCCCATTCTCCAATCACCGGCCGACCTGAGACATTGCTCACCACATCCCCCATCCCTTCCTCACGGCTGGGTGTCTCTTCAGCAGACGAGCTGCTTGACGGTGCACTAGGGTGGTCGCCACCGTTGTCGCTGGCGCTGGAACTGGCGCTGCTCTTAGACGCCATTGTTTCCGGCACATCCTGCAACTCCGGTGGCACTATCATCGTGATAGGCTCCACTGACAAAACCCCTTCCTCTTCTCCCTCTCTGCCCTGGTTACCTCGTTGCTCTGTAAGCTCTCTCAATGAAACCATTTTACCTGAAAATGAAGTGAAACTGGTTCGGTGTGCTGTTCTTCAAGATCGGAGTTGCCTCGCTTCAGAGAATTTCAGAAGGTTTCAAGCAAATGCAAAAGTGAAAATGGAAAAAGAAACGGTTACGCAAAGGGAAATATGGCAGTCTTAATGGTTGTACGCGTGTTTCTGACGCGCCAATTCACGTCATACACGTGGCACACGCTTAATGTCCCTTCAGCATAACATGCACCGGCTTTAGCTGTCACGCCCCTCAAAGGCTGAGCCAGCATTTATGACGGGGAAGACAGACGAATACGGGAAGATCAATCGTATCTCCTCAAAGATTTGCTTGATTCAAAAAATCCCAAGATTCAGATCGTCGCTACTGATGTGTACCCTATACTGTCACATCAGCTCGCCATTGCGAGCACACTTACCAGGTCGTTGCAAACATGACATTGTGCCAGATCCGCTCAACCGTGACAATTTATTCAAAAGTGTGGATCTTTTGCTAAAATTCCCCCAAGATTCAGCTCGTCACATATCGTGGCGACAACCACATTTGTCAGGTCGGTACACAGATGGCAACTCTCACAGGCCACAAACTTTTGCGTAAATCAATGGGTGCCTCAGGTCGCCCTATTCGACAGCACCACTCGTGCGGGATGATAAAGTGATGGTCAAAAAACTCAAGTCGCACTGAATGTGAGGTTGCGTCTTTTGGTCGCACTTCAGTGGTACTCAAAGGTCAGGTCGTCACAAGGACGAGCTGATCAGGCATTACATGCATGGCTGGTCCCCAAGCGAGCTCGTCCGTTGCAAATCGCTTCAGCTCGCCGCCATGACCAGCCCACACTAATGTGGCCATGAATGCCAGCTCGCCCACACGTTTTCAGGCTCGCGAGCTCGCCTATTTTCGTTTTACCTTTCAGCTCGGCCCTCGTCGGGGTCAACCACGAGCTGTTAAACCCGTTTGGAATGGAATAGACCCAACAGGCCCAACGCCTATACAAGGCTGTGCAGGACTGTGCAAAGACCCAACAACGTTGGCCCATGGCTACACCCATCCCAGTTCGTCAACCGAACACTGGGGGGGAGTAATGTTGGAATAGGCCCAACGCCCAAACAGGACTGTGCAAAACAGGCCTAGGCTACCACCCATTAGCCCAAGCTGAAGGAGCATCTGTACAAGCATACCCACGTGACCAATGACACGTGGGTCGAGGGGATGCTTACACGTGCAGATG